TAAGGGTAAATACCATATTTCAAAACTAGATTTTAGAAAACTTTTGGAAACGACACAATAAATGATAACATTTATGAAATACAATACTAATCGCATTTATCAAAGCTAGGTAACAATGACTTTAGGACCATTCTTAAATGTAAGAATTAATCCTACTAGTCTTTCAAGAACTCACTTCCCTTAATAAAATTACAAAGATAGCTGAGAAAGTTAGCCATATTAATGTCACACCAACAAGCTCAAGTAATGACGACTATATTTGTTGGTTTTGTATGTGTTATCAATCAAGATTACAATGTTAAATGCATTCAAGAATTTTAGTGCATTTTAGGATGTGTCCAAAAGAGGTCACTTACCATCTTAAATTCGTCAACACAATTATTTAAATAAATATATTCATCACGTTTTAACAACATCATTCGTTGTTATAGTTTAGTTGTAGAACATGTCAATTATGAGATTTTGTAAATGTATCATCTAAATCGGATTTCAAAATCCGATATAGTTCTAAATTGGATTTCAAAATTTAATACACTCCTACACCAAATTTTAAAATATAATACACTTCTAAATTAGATTTTAAAATCTGGTATATTAAAAAATTAAGACACTCGTTAACCGAATTTCAAAATCTAGTATACTTTTAAACTGAATTTCAAAATTTAGTACCTAGATCAAATTTCGAAATTTGAAACATTCATATACTAGATTTTAAAATCCGATATTTACTCTAAACTAAATTTTCCATTATACAAATTGAATTAAAAATGATAAATAATTATAAATAATTCTCGTTGGAAAACTCGACAAAAAACAGTGTAAATGAAGAAAAAGTAAGCTTCAACCAAAATAATATGAAATAAGAATTTCGTTGAAGAAAAAGAAGGTCGTTGAAGAAGAAGAACTCGTTATAAGGAAGAAGAAGAACCGAAGAAGACAAAAACACTGTTAAATATTTCATGAAAATAACTTAAGAGTAGCGAAAGAAGTAAATATAGCAGTGCCGATAGTAAATACAAGTGGGTGTAGGAAAATATTAGGCCTACAACTCCAAACAAACTTACAAAGAAAGGAACGGGCTATTACTTTCACCCCACAATTGCTAACTATACACATAATTACTAAACTGTACAAAACAGAAAAAAATTCAAACATCACCACTTTTACTACCGCTGTTGTCACTATTGCCACTATCGTTGCTACACCACTATTGTAGACAAAGAAGAACAGAAAAAATGCAGAAAATAACTCGTTTTGGAAAATTTGAGTCCACGAAGAAATTATGGAGTACAGGAAGCAAAATCCAGATCATGTTTTAATATAGAACTTAAAAAAAACAAAGATAATTGATATGAGAAGAAATTTGAATGTTACATTTCCTACTTAACTTTTAAAATTTGATTCAAAATCCAACTTTTAAAATTTTGCAGGAAGAAGGCTTAGACAGAAGATGGAAGATTATGAAAAAGTTATAATCTTGGACCCTTTGAATAAAACATACATTAAAAAAGTGATTCCTTTTCCTACTAAGTTGTGGTTCTTCATTCCACTATGCACTAAATCAATCACATAAAAGGGAATCCAATACCTTCATAACAAAACTTCACTCTCAAAATCAAACTCCAATGGAGGAAGCTTCATAGATGCTATGCTCACCATTCACTACCTCAGAATTTATACCATTGTTCTTTTATCACCTATATATCTTTTATTCATTTCAGATTAAATTACTTATTATATTTTTAATTATACTTTCATCTTCATCTATTATTTCTATTTATTTTCATTCCTAACTTTTGGAGGAAACCTTATTGATTTTGAAATTCTAGGACAATATTAAATATTATTTTCTTAATCATAGCTTATAAGTTCTAAAAATATTAAAACAATATTTTATTTTGAAATAAATAAATAAATAATTTTTAATTTAGAAATCAAGTTTTTTTGAAGCATTAATGTTATTAGTTATTGATTTTATTTAAGATTATGAACTATGATAAATAGATAAGTCTCAATTATTGAATTTATGTTCATACATCTACAACAAAACTTCACTTCATATCAACAAATTTCTCCAGTTTTAGAGTCTACAAATCCAAATGTTCCATTCCCATAGCCTGCAAATTTTAGCATCGTTTTCCACCTTTCTAACCAGAGACAAGTTATGGTGTAAAAATATCAATGCTATGTAACCAATTACTTGCTGCACAAGTGCCATAACCATTGCAGCACAGTTGAAAAAGCTCCATTCACAAATAATTTGAGGAGTAAGAGAAGAAACACGCATACCTTGGTTCCTCTATATTAATAAAAACATAACCTTGTACACTGCAACTTGGAAATTCTTTCATTTTTACCTTTTCTAACACACTGAATTTGAAAAAAACTAACCCCTTTACATAATTTTCTGGTTTGGAAGGGAATAAAAAAAATAGAGTTGCACATTATTACACTGAATTGAAGACAGAAAAAAAAAAACATCATACATCGACGTCGCAGGGTGTAACTCCGAGGAGAGGAACCGGACCCACCAAACCTTTCTTCAAACCCATCAACACATCGCACTTCACATACAGTCCATAGTGCGCAGTTTTGATGGCACCAACTTTCCACCTCACCCTGCCTTGAAATATGAGCCTCAGACCCACCACCCCATAAGCCTCGTCCACCACCAACCCGTTTGACACCTCCACCGACACCGGAACCGCCGTTCCTCCGATCACCGGCGACACCGAGACCGCGGTGTGTTTGCCCTGGTGCAGCGGCGGCAGCAGGACCTGAGGCGTTATGGCCTGGTTCCTGTACGAGACGAAGGCGGATAACCTGTCGTAGTAAATGGAGACGCGCCTGTTGGGGTTCTTTATGAGGACGGAAAATTGCATGGTGGTGGACATGAGCGGTGGGGTGGTGGCGTTGAGGCCGTAGATGGCGGCTCCGATCACCGTGAAGCGGGGCTTGTGGGGACGGTAGACCAGCCAGAGCACGAGAAGATTAACACCTGCTAAGAGGAGGAAGATGGTGATGGCCGTGCATGCTGCGCGTCTCGGATCATTGGAATGTTTGTCCTTCGACATTTTTCCTTTGTTGCAGTGTATGACTATGGAGTTTGGCAGTGAAGAAGAGGAAAAAGATGGAGAAATGAGAGGTCAATATAGGAGAGGAATCTAAGAGCAAATTGTTTAGTGCTTTTACTTCACATTTTTTTCATATATACACGTGTCTCTGTCTCTTTTTATTTTGTTTTTTTGCTTATGATAAGCAACTCTCATTCTTGACACACTTTAATCGTGTTTTGTAAATCATTATCCAGCAATTGCATATTTTTAACTAAGTCTGTACAAAAGAAAGATGCTGTAATAATGTTATATAGATCGCAAAAGTCACAAAGGAGAGTTGGAATTGGTTCACTTGGTATTGAAGTGCTTTTACATCTCTTTCAATCCATTTTTTTTTTCTTTTTTCCTTGTTATCCCTTTCACTTTTCTTTTCCTATATCTTGCAAATAATATATCTCTGTCAGTGTACATTTTGATTCTGATTACTCATCACTTCTTTTGCAGACCCAGACTCCTAACTATTTATGTGTGTTTTTCTCTCTCATTACACTTGCTTTAACTGTCAAGCGAAGATGAGTGAATAAAAACAATATGAATTAACTAATTAATTAATTTATAAATTAATCCCATGAGAATTGGGAATATTCTAAGTTTTTTGGTAGAAATTAGTTAGTGAAAAAAACAGTAAGCCTGTAGATCTTTATTTTATTTAATTTGACATCACAGTGATCAAATGTGACAACTACATATGGAGCGTCTGTATTCTTGTTCTGTTGACACGTGATTACACTGTGATATTATACTAAAGAAGTCTAGTAAGTTGATTTAGCAGAATGAATGAATTGCTTAAATTTTCTAATTGAGTAAAAGGAAAACTGTGTTACTCCTGTTTTTTCTTTGATGATGGATTGAAAAGATTTAATTATACTCTCCTTTTTTGGTATCCAAACCAAACAAATTTATTAAATATACTTTAAATCCCTTCAATTTCTCTTGAACTATATAACACTTAAGTACTGTAAATCTTATGTTTAATTAAATCAAGAGCCTCATTTAATCTCTTCGTAGGTAAGCTACACAATTAGCTCTCATGCTGCTTATGTCAGTGTACACTAATAGTCAAACCTATATTGAAAATCAAATGTGGAACCAACAAAGTTCACTGCTTTCTTATGCAACCTTATGTTAAAAAAACAAAAAGAATAGCTTCCTTTTCATGGGGTCTGGTTTTTGCTCTGGAAAATAAATGAAGCACCAAAAGAAAACAAAAGTAGAGGAGAGGGAACCGAAAGAAGAGCTAAAGGAGATGTGCCTCGATTTGACTCCTTTCGCCGACATATGGATAAACTTAGACTTAAAAAATGAACAGTTTCTGCATGCAATGAAAGAGAGATGAGATAACAAGCACTTATGTGTTTTCTATTCAGTTATACACACGTTTGGTTCCGTTTGGACCTTACCTCGCAACATCCTACAGCAAACTCAACATAATGTGATGTGTTTCCCATATCTGGTATGCACGCGTCCCATACAATTTATACACATCACACATGTTAACACTATTTATGTTTTCGTTGCCCTAATTAAGACTTCAAAACTGACTTATCCAAATTATTATAGATAACATTAAAATCTATCACTAACTCTATTTAAAAAATTGATCGCTATATTTTTTTTAACTAAGAATGAAGTCTAGTAGTATTAGACATTAAATTTCACATTAATTAAAAACATAAAAATAGAATCTGAAAATAATATATTAGCATGAATTAGGAAAAGAAAAGTGAAATACATGAACAGTGGGGTCCAAGTGCTTTTCCCAATGTTCAGTGATTACAGAAATTTCAAGCAAAATACCAATGTACCTACGTTGACTAGCTTAACTTGATTGTGCAACCAAGACTCTAGTACTCTTAAAGGGGGCCCAAATGATCAGTGGAAATATTAAAGAAAGATTACAATCCATATAAAATATAACTCCATTTTACATCATATTTCAACCCTTTAAGATGAAAGCATACCACTGCCTATATAAGGATAACCCTATACTAGCATTCAATTGAGAAACATATACACGAGATAAAATCAAAATTTCAAACCAATCCTACTAAATAATTACAATCCTACATTCTAAAAGACAACCAAGATGACCAGTCATAAGAAAATACTAACAACGCTAAAAGGTACATATTTCACCAGACACACTATACCTATAGTTAATCCTTGTCGAGATAGGCAAATCAGTTCTGGAAGTCAAATTTTAATTCAGTGATGAAGGTAATTTCAATAAGCCATAAGAAAATAATTTCAGGAATCACCACCCAGATCTGATACCGGATGACTACTGTCTACTTGGCGAACAAATTGCCCTTTCACCCGAGGGCGCTGCTCTGCCAATCTCTTCCGGCTTTGATATCGTACCTATGCAAAAAATTCAACAATAAGCAGCTGCTTATTCAACAATAACCAAATATGTTTGTCTAAGCAACATAGATAAGAAAGTAATCACAATTTAAATTGTGAGATTTTTAGTTAAAATATGATATAGGAATTTCAAAATTGACTAGACCCGCTAATAACATAAATGCTAAACTAATGAAGTTTCAAATCCTAAAGTCTGGCAATTTCAGAAATACATGGCAGCAAGCAATCGCATGACGCCCCGATAATGCCTTTATAAGAAATATTTCAGAAGTTAGCCTACTTTCAGAAGCAGTAATAGCACGGTAGCCAATACCTTTTTCTCATAGCATATGTCTTTACGCTTAAGTCGAAACTTGTTAGAAGCTGCTCTCTCGTTGGCTGGTAGCGATGAGAATCTGAATCCTATGTATCCATCATGACTAAGGTGACCTAATATCAGTGAACTTTCAGTGCGTTGTCCTTGGCTACCTTGGCTGAGTATAGATAGTATTTCCATCACTTGTAGCAGCCTATGCTTGTTGTAACACACACACAAGTTATTGTTGTTGATATCATGTAAAGGGCGAGTATCAGCAAGTCTCACTAGCAGCAGGATGAGTCCTGTGTCTCAAAATCCAAATGGCTTTGGTGATTTACATTTTGAATTGAATCATGGGTTGCATCGTCATCGTCAGAGCAGTGATGATGTTTTGAGTTGCGACTTTGAGGATTAGACTGGGAGAAGTACTAGTGGGAAACGGAGAACTCTCTTTCTGGAACAATGATTTTGGAGTCCATATGGTTATGGACATCTGATTGAGAATAAAGCATAGAAGGGAAGACATTTGCCATTTCGTTGACTTGTCGTCATAAGTAACCCCTGTGCAGGAAAGAATCAAATTTGACTGTTCGGTAATTTTGGATCAACTTGTCCAGATTGACCAATATCTGGAGTGGTGATTTTATCCTTAATTTGATCTTTTGCACCACATTGATGAGATGTAGTAGCGTTTTCAAATAACTAGGAGATTTCTGAGAATCATGACTAACGTTTGTTAATTTTGCAGAGATAGTTGATGGTGTTGGACAAAGGGGCTGCAACAATTTACTACTACCATACCTGCAATTTTTTTTATAACAAATTATTAAAAAATATCTATTTTTTGGAAGTTCAAAGCAAGAATTGGTACTTATTTCTTGACCTACAACAATAGCAGGCAAAGTAAAGAATCACCTAGAAAAGGCAGAAGCATTTGAATGGTTCAATATTTGCCTTTCCTCAAATACAGCTTTGTACGAGCCTCCAGGAAAATATCTTCTTATAGAAAGTTCCAGTTGTGTATCAAAGTCAAACTTGGAAACGTTACCACTACTGAAACTACATTTTTCATCAGTGCCTCTCTGGAAGTGTCTTGAATGTACCAATCAAGTCAATGGCCCCAGTAGACGGACCTTCCAATTCATCACTGCTTCCACGAATATCAACACTAATTGCAGGATTGGCTTTGCTCAACTCTATTCTTAGAACTTCATCCTGATTTCTCATTTCACCAAAATCATATCCTTGACCTGGCCTTTAAGCCTGTTGGTTTAAAAAGTTTTGTTGGACCCTCATCTTCTGATATAAATATTGATTTGGCTGCAATAATGCTAATGGAACTGAGTAACAAAATAAGGGCCAAAGATTTGAACACAAGTACAAATATAAAGAAACTTGGCACCTCCAGCTTTGTCATTATGCTGATATCTGATCCCTTTCACATTTTGTAGAGTTGTCATGCTTAATTGTGCCATATCGGTCTCAAATTTGAAGAACTCTTTCAGCTGTGAAATATCCTGAATATTTTTCCATGCAGTACTTTTCAGCTTCAAAAAATGGAGGTGCACAAGTTCTCTCTACATAGCGCTGTGGCAAAACATGCGTTTGTTTCTATAAAAGCATGAAACCAGCCTAACCTATTAAATAAGCGAAAATTATCAAGTGGGAGAAGAGGCGCTTCAATAAATGCAATAGAAAATAGGATAAGGTTATTGTCTTTGTAAACTTACTCATGCCAAGCAATGAAAAATGTACGCAAAATACTTCGAGAAATGAATTAGCACATAAAAAATTATTGCATGCTTCACACATACACGACGAAAATCTGAGAGAAACTGACATATGTAACAGTCATATTACAGCATGTTTTTCAGTGGAAGTTTAAGAGACTGGAAGAGAAAAACTTACTTGAATCTCACTTAGTATTTCTCGCTGCATCATTATTTTTTGTATTTAGACTTGTTGTAGAAGCCACAGAACCCTAGAATCATTCGCTAGCAGCATGATTTTCTGCAGCCAAAACCAAGTTCCATCTGTGGCAATGTTAAATTTTGAGGGAGGTCCCACTTATATGTATGAAAACATGAATTGAATCAAGAAAAAAAGCAAAGTAAATATAAGTCAAAGTAGTAAGTTCACACTAGTAGACAAAAGAAATATCAAAACATTGCCAGAAAAACAATGAAGAATATGACGTACGACATGCCTTCTCCACACATGCTGCCACAAGTTTCTTAGCTCATTCTTGCGAACAGGTTTTATAAGAAAATCAGCTGCACCTTTTAACATGCATCTGAACACCATGCTAACTGAATCGTGAGAAGACATCACTGCAAAACCATAAGAAGGTGAGAACAAATTTGAGACCATTAGCCATATCTAACTACTAACAGCACCGAGTCAACTCATACTTATGACGGGAATGTTTTTGCAAACGTCATGCTCCATGATTAAACTAAGAAGTGAAAATCCAGATATTGATGTGCAAATCCACTCAGTTAATATGAGATCTAGTGTCAGATGCTTTGTTCTTCAATGTCTCCCATGCCTTAGGCCATCACAAGCTGTGGCAACTGCATGTAAATATTGCAATTAAGAAGTTCGTTCATAAGCATCTTGAGCTTGAGGGTAAACTCAATTTTCAAACACTACCTTGGAAGGAAATAACTCAGTGCCATCACAAAATACACATTTGCATGAAACAATACCCTTTATATTTAATTAAAAGAAAAAAAACAATTATTCAGTTCAAGTACGTTGTTATTAGCTGAACTGTTAACATAAATTAAACTCCTAGGTCGATTGCTATCTACTGAGTATTTTAAAAATTGATTTTCCCGCAGCAGAGTGAAGGTGAATTATGTTCTTCGCGATGCTAATTCATGCCTGGATTACGTGGCTAAGCGGGACCTCCAGGAAAAAGACCACATGAAGTCGTAGGTGAAACAAACCAGATTGAAAGCCAGTTATTGAAAAATCTACCTGTGTTGTTGTTTACATTAAACACGTTTAGAGAGAAAGAGGAGCGTAGTTTTCATTTTCTCCAGAAACATAATTTTAAACAATATTTTTTTTAAGAAAAGAAAGACAAAACAAAGGGAACTTGTAACTGCATTTACGGAGAAGCGCAGCAATGATCTGTCGAGTCGAATCATCAGCTTCCACAAGCAACACCCGAAGCACCATCCGAGGCAGAAAACGTTCCCACCGAACCATGGAGCCATTGTTGCTCTGTTCCTCCTGAGTCTGCATCACACCCTTCTCACCCGCCACTTCACCCATTCTCAATCAATTTGCTTCTGCTGCATTAATCCAAAACCCTAATTGAACGCTAGAAAAGTAAGAAGAAGAGGAAGACCTCATGCTGAGTCTTAAGTTGTGCAGTGAAAATATCTTAAAAGTCTGCTAAATTGAGTGGAGGAAGAAAGAGAGAGAAAGAGAATTTCAGAATTTTCAAACCGCCTTCTATACTTTGCTTCACAACCGCGAAAATCCTACAAAATATCTTCTCACCATATGCCACATACATGCATAGATACATGCGAACGTGAATCTCATCACTCTCTCAGATCTCAACTTCCACAGCATCTAAACGTGCCATGTTTCCCCTTCTGACGTGTCCCATTCTCCACCATTGGTTATTATACACGTGCCTCATTCATATTCCGAAAAATGCCACGTCGTCTATGCGCCAACACATTTTCGAGGTCTTGGTGGCCACTGTGACACGTGGAGTTAATTATGTATAATCGTTTCTGCTTCCGTCACCCATCAGAAGCGAAGAAGAAGACGAGATGCAGAGGGTCTTTGTTCGGTCCAAAACCCTAATTTCGGTTACTTCCAATTGCATCTTCTTCCCTCCAACACTACCCTTTTACTTGCAAAATCAACAAGCTTTCCACAGCAACAGCAACGGGAACACCCCTTTCGGATCACCAACTCGAGTTCAGAAGCTGATAGCTTCGCAATCAGACCCTCTTTTGGCCAAGGAAATCTTCGATGTGGCCTCTCGCCAACCCAACTTCCGCCACACTTACTCAACCTATCTCATTCTCATCCTCAAGTTGGGTCGCTCCAAACACTTCTCTCTCATCGACCATCTCCTCCGCTGCATCAAATCCGATTCCCACCCCATCACCCCCACCCTCTTCACTTACTTGATCAGAGTCTACGCGGAAGCCGATTTGCCCGACAAAGCCCTCAAAACCTTCTACAACATTCTCCACTTCAATTGCAAGCCTTTGCCCAAACACCTTAACCGCATTCTCGAGATCCTCGTTTCCCACCGTAATTACATTCGTCCCGCCTTCATTCTCTTCAAGGATGCTCACAGGTATGGGGTGGAACCCAACACCAAGTCCTACAACATTCTCATGCGCGCGTTCTGTCTCAATGGGGACATTAGCATTGCCTACTCACTGTTCAACAAAATGTTCAAACGAGATGTTGTGCCGGATATCGAGTCTTACCGGATTTTGATGCAGGCCTTGTGTCGGAAGAGTCAAGTGAATGGTGCTGTTGATCTTTTGGAGGATATGCTCAACAAAGGGTTTGTTCCGGATTCTTTGACTTACACCACTTTGTTGAATAGTTTGTGTAGGAAGAAGAAGCTCAGGGAGGCTTACAAGCTTCTCTGTAGGATGAAGGTCAAAGGGTGCAATCCTGATATTGTTCATTATAATACTGTTATACTAGGGTTCTGTAGAGAAGGGCGCGCTCACGATGCTTGCAAGGTTATTACTGACATGCGGGCCAATGGGTGCTTGCCTAATCTTGTGTCCTATCGTACTTTGGTGAGTGGCTTGTGTGACATGGGAATGCTTGATGAGGCTAGTCAGTATGTCGAGGAGATGTTCTGCAAAGGTTTTTCTCCTCATTTTTCTGTTGTTCACGCCTTGGTGAAGGGGTTTTGTAATGTTGGTAGGATTGAGGATGCTTGTGGAGTTCTTACTAAGTCTCTTGAACATGGGGAAGCTCCTCATGTGGATACTTGGATGGTCTTAATGCCTGTAATATGTGAAGTGGATGATGGTGGGAAAATCAGTGGTGCTTTGGAGGAAGTTCTTATGATTGAAATAAAAGGACATACTAGAATTGTCGATGCTGGCATTGGTTTGGAGAACTACTTGATTAGGAAGATACGAGCCAACTCCACCAGAGTATTCTAAAACTTATGTAGGACGTACAACTTCCAACCCATGGGTTCAGAGACTTCTCCATACTGTTGAGACAAATGTGGCATGGCTGCGACCACTAATGACTGCTAACACTTATGACACTTTGTTCATATGAGTATTAACCTCATTGTGTAAAAGGCTAAAAGTCATTATGATGCAGAAAAGATTTAGCTAGGCGGTCTTCAGTATAACCCAGATGCTAGAGCTTTGGTAAGTCACTTCAGTGTCATGCCTCAGAAGGGACGAGTTCGCAAGCCTTACCCAAATGGAAACGATTCTAAATTTAGAAAAGGTTTGTGGGATTCTAGATTTCTTGGGTGAGAACCCTTGATCTATATGACCTGGAGTTAACTCCAGGAGAGGTTAGGGGTGTGTTGGGTCTGCGGGTTGGTTTTAAACTAGAAGCAGTAGCTGCTGTGAAGTTGTATCATCCGTTTATATGGCCTCTTCACATTTTTTTTCATTAAATTTTCATCGGATAAGTATTACACCTTCATTCTTACTACATTTGTTGTTTGGTTAGTTAACACACAATTTGTTGTGAGTTGCATTGTTAGCTTCAAATAAAGAGTTAGCAAGAGTATTCAAGTTTGCCACCGGAGAGGCTGAGATATTAAGCATATATACGGACCATCGGACCATCCTGCGTAAAATGGTTTTCTTTTTTGTAAATCCATTTGGAACACTCGTATTTTTTTAATTCTGCAAATCAATTAAGACTTAGTTCTTGATTGTTCAGTAAAGTTACGTTGCACGTGTTTTGGATAATTAATTTGTATTTAAACAATTATACTGGCATAGTCCGAAGTACTTTACAAATTAATGTGATTTAAAATCATTTAAAATGATTCAATAAATTACATTTTCACTGAAGTTTTCTTTTGTATATTTCGTTAGTTACACTAAATATTGAATTTTGTTTTATAAAAATTAAAAGGTTTAACTATACATACCGTACAAATTAGGTAAAATAATACATGTTCTATTTTATCCATAATATTTGTCATCCATTCGATAAATTAAAAAGCCTTGCCAAATAAAAGATGTAATTAATATATAGATGGGAAATAAAGAGGATTGCAACAGATAGATGAAATTAGTCTACAAAACTTGAAACCAATAAACAGTTTCCAAGAACTCTACAATACTCGTTTTAATAAAATCCAAACTATTCCCCTTTTCGCCTTGCCTTCCTTGAAATTTCCCTTTCTAAGAGACTCTTTTTCAGGTTACAAATCGTAATATGAAATTAGACTACAAAACTTGAAACTAGTAAATAGAGCTTCCGATAACTCTTCAAAACTTGTTTTAATAAAATCTAAATTATTTTCCTTTCCCTTTTCCTTTCTTGAAATCTCCCTTTTTCTTGAAATTTCCCTTTTTAAAGGACTTTTTCTCAGGTTTCAATTTGTTGTCAGCTGGTGAAGCCTTCCCTTTCTCGCTCCTTCGTTTCTTCTCTTTCTTCACATTGTGCATTGTGACGGCCTAGAATTCAGAGAGCACATTTTTGACAAAATAAAAAAGTTAACAAAACTGGGCAAATTTGAAATCCATGTCACTAAATGACTTTACTGTACCTTTTCAACATTTAGTATGTTATGAGAATTCTTGGAGATGATTTTGTTCAATATTTTTTCAGTTTGCTCCCTCTCTAGTGATCCTATCCCGGTTCCTTCCACCACTGGCAGGAACTAAATGAAAATAAAACAATGGAAGTTGATAAGTCAATTTAGTTAAAAATGGGTGCTTCTATAACAATTTACATGGCTAAGAGAAACAGTTATCTGTGAGTTTACAGTGCACAACCTTTCGATATTTTCCTTTATGTTTTGCAGGCTTTTCACCCAGCAATTTCTTGTCAAATTTCCCACCACTGGCTGTTGCAGTTGCTGCGATTCCTGCTACATTACCTAGTTCATCCTTTGTAACTTTCTTGGGCGCTGCCTGAGTTCCTGTTATAGGCAAAGCTGTAGCTGCCAACTGAACATGGCTGCATAATAATGTGTTCAGACTTCATTACAATAACGAACATATGATGAGTAGCAGGGAGAAAAACAATAAAGAGTATATTAAAGAAAACAAGAAACACCAGGTCAACACCCTACAACAATCTTAGTCAAAAGATAGGACTTTGGGGGGACAACAATAGCCTCTAGATTACTCAATTGCTTCCAAAGTTCGGGAAATTACCACATGCAAGAAAGTCAGACTTTAAATAAAGTTGAGATGCCACCAATAGAAAAGGTAAGATTTTCCATCTAGAATATCATATACCCACAACAGTAAAAGTTATTCCACCATTGGAGCATGTAAGGCCGTCATCTCCAACCCAGTATCAATTCCTATGATTCCTAAATGGGATCCACTTCTACATATTAATCACTTTCACTTGTTTTTATCATTGCACCCATATTCTCTAATTCAGTAGCTCTGAAAAAAAATTAAATAGATCCCACTGATAATCTCATTTTACCAATAGAAATACCCAAACACATTATAAAATGAAAAGTAAAAATAAAATTAAAATTTCACACTTTCTTAAAATAAAAACATGGTCCACTTGAAAAATTAAGTACAACGTAGGTGCTTATGAGGTAATGGTAAGGGAAAAGAAGGAGTTAAGCACCTCCCAATGCAGATGCCTTAACAAATAAAAGAAAAATATCACTAACTGAAACTGCATATATCATTTGGCTTATGCAAAGTTTAGTATAAGAAAACTCAGTAAAGACTTCCTGAATGAGAAAAGAAAGTAGGCGATGGCCCAACTCTCCAAGGTGAGATATAACTGACTCCAATGGCCAAAATAAAACGCAAAGGTCCATGATCCATGAAATAAAGTGTGCACACAACTATAAGTCAATAATGTATACTATAATGAACATTAACAAATAGAATTCCCTGCTACAAAATCTTCAAGGTAAATTGGAAAACATTATGTTACAAACCTTGGTAAAGCACCAAATTTAGCAGCTTCTTTCAAGTTCTGTAGTCGATTTTTATCCTGCTTTTCAATTCTTTTCTTCTTATTTTCTTTTCTTTTTGCAAAAGGATCCTCTGCTGGATCTACAAAATGTTACAATACCATTACTAATATGACATAAATATAGCTTTAATCAGTGTACTAAAAACAAAGCCAAAAAATGTTAATTACAAGTTTATATTCATGAAAAGATATGTTGACGTCAAAAGAATAATAACATTAAGCATAAATGGTGTAAACGAATATCTATATGGTTTGAAATATAGACATATAAACACTATCTAACTTCCACATTATCACATACAATAAATTTCATAACCAAAAATAACAACCCCAAAATGGTAGGAAAATAAAATCCTCAAGATTTGAAATCTTGACCGAAGGGTATTCAATTAAACAGATTCCGTGTTTAATGCTCTGGTAACCCACAATGCCAACCATATGTCCGACTAGGCATTGAGCATGCCCTGATATATATAAATATTTCCATTGTACAACCTGGGTCTTCTAAAGAGCCAATGCTGTCCTGATTCATAATTTTTCTCATTAGAACTGTTTTTTAGTACACAGACCTTATAAAGGTCTGCCATGAAGTATCCTATGTTAAAATTTTATCATATGCTGAACACATTGTAGTGGTTCTGTTGGTGCCCGAAAGTGACAACTTAAAGTAGAGTGTCGGCAGTCTACACCTAATTCGTGACCATTAAGAGAAACATGGTAGCAGTTCATGTGGAATAGGATGTTCGATCATTTACCATCAGTTTCTTTTGCCTCAATGATAGGTACAGCGTCTTCATCATTTGCACGATCATACCCAAATCTCCGTTTCCAGGTTCCAGATTGTTCATCATACACAATCTTGTCTTTTTTCCGATTCTGTATGCCTGAAAAAATAACACAGGATGATATACATCAGTTCAACTAATAAAAGTAGGGAGCACTAAGCCCAACACGGACTGCATGAACAGCATTAAGATTATTTGAGAGTCACAAGTGCATTATGAATAGACAAACCTTTCTTTTTGGCAAAAACTTCCCATTTAGTAGGAGGCTTAGGTTTTGGAAGCTGAAAGCATCATAAAAATTGATGAGCAAGTGATTTAACTAATTAGACATGAAGCAAAAAATACTACAAGCAAAGAACGACGATAGAATCACAGAACCAATACAATTGAATAGCTAATTGCAATGCAAACACATATATAGGAAGAGGCTTTTATTTAGCCGTTTGAAAGTTGCAATACAATAGAATAAGGATCAGGAATACGAGCATTAAAGTGAAAAGTCACAATTAATAGATTGCATAACCTTTGAAATTAAAGAATAATAAATATTTGAGTGTGGGATTACATGTTTTTCTCTTGGCAGTTTAGTTAGTGGCGTAGGCAAGTTGACAAGGGGGCCATCTACATCTTCGGTTGATGGTAAGGTGAAGAGAGCATCTGCGATCGCTTGAATCAAGTGAGTGCCTTTCAGCAAACACTGCTTGACGATTTCCTCCCTGTGTTCAATTAAAGTAAGCAAGGACAGTGTCAAAAACCAAAAACCCTAAAGAAGAGGAAGAAGACGGTACCTGGGTACCTGGAAAGAGGTGGTTGAGAGGGGAAAGTGTGACTGGAGTCGAAAGCCATGAGGTGCCCAAGGTCCACATCGAACTTGTGCTGTTTCTCACCCTCAATCTCCATCTCCGTCATTTTCAGTTTCAACAAATGAAACCAATATCAAACCTCTGCGCCGTCGAAGGTGGTTAACGGCTTAAGGGTTTGTTTATGTTGTGCTCTGATGTTTTGCAGCGCGAGAATGAAAGAAGAAGTGAAATCGAGGCCCAACAAAAAGGCCCAATAAAAACAACAATCAAAGTTAAAAAAAAGGCTTTTCATTCCTACAGCCCCACAATTACTAACTGCACCGCATAATAGTAGAAAAAGATTAAAACACTCCCCAAAATTGAACCACACCACCTCCCGCGCCGCTTCCACCATTGTTACTGCTGCAGACAAAGAAAACATGGAAAAAAAAAATCATTTTGCAAAGGTTTTTCCTAAAGGGCATTTAATGTGTTTCGGAAAGTTCTTTCCAAAACACATACAGTGTTAGGAAAACTTTCCAAAAAGACATTATAGGCATTTTTAAAAAATTTGTTCTAAAAATTTTATTCTGAAAAGTTTATATCAAACTTTTAGTTTAGAAAATTTTGTTCTAAAAATATTACTTCAGAAATTCCCAAAACTTATGCTGAAAATTTGATTATATTTTCTGAAGAATCATTTAATATTACTTTGAACTGCACGGCAGTGGTAAAGAGTTGCCTCAGTGATATTTCTCATTTTGATTTTTGCTTGCTCTACAAGTGAGCATAATCCTGCACCTAATTAGTCGCTGCTAATTTAAAGAATTACAGATATGTGAAAATAAACTGAAGTTTCCTATCAGGTCTGCCATTCTATTTCTTGATCTTAAGTTGAATACTTTTTCACTCAAAAAATCATATTTTGAACTATCAAATATACAGAGATATTGATGATTGGAAATTTGAATACAAGGAATAAATCCAGATTTTGATGGACTTTTCACAGTAGATCTACCCCCACTTGCTGACATATTCTAGCTCTCAAGTTCTCCCATCAATCTCAGTTATGGATACCAGACCAGAGCTTCCTCCCAAACAATCAAAATTGCAACTATCACTACGCAAAATCTGAATATCCTGTCAGATCTTATTCATCTCTCTTTAAACGCTCTCTAATCACTAGTGTTCGACCACAAAGCACCTGCAAGAAAGACCAGACCAGGTATCAGACAGTAGCTCATGAATAAGAAGCACAACAATGAAAAGCGGCAGAGATAGAATGCATATATATACCGTTCCATTGAGAGATAGTGCAGCATTTCGTTCTCTCTCTGAAAGATAGGAAACAAACGCATAAACCCTTTGTTTTCCTTGTCTCGTATCTTGCAACACCCTTACACTGGTCACATTACCAAATCTACCAAAAAGCTGCCTCAGGTCTTCAGGCATGGTAAACTTGGAAAGATTCCCAACATACAACTTATGAGGACCTTCATAGTATATAGTTCTCATGGGTAACGAATTCATCGTGTCAAGATTCCTCCTCCTCTTGGGATTCATCTCAGCTGAAAATCTAACCAGCACTTCGCGCCCACCAACATCCTTCAGTTGAGAAAAAGGAACCAAAAACACATTTTCAGAACAAACGAACAGCCAGAACACATTAACGAAATAATGCATCATCGAGTTTCACACTCACGAACCGATGCATCCAATGCCTCAATTGCCTTTTTTGCGGAGTCAATAGATGCCATTGTGACATAAGCACTCCCTCTACTCTCACCAGTCTCCTCACTGCGGCAAACCTGCAAAAATGCAGTCACCCATCAACACAGTACCTTGTCATCATTACCACCATTGCTGATTCAGATCATAACTATGAAAGGGGGAAACATTTGTGCTACTGAACTAGCTAGTTAATAATGAAAACGAAGATGATAAATAGAGCAAAGAAGATTTCAAGCTCTGTTTTTTTAAAAAAAAATGAATAATTTAGTGAGAAGAGAAGAGAGGGTATAGTAAAATGAATGTAAAATAAGGAAAAGGTGAAAGAAGCCATAAAACCTGAGCAGAGAGTACGGTTCCATGAGGGTTGAACATATGAAGTAGATGTTGTACGTCACAGCTTCTTGGAAGGTTGCAGATGTAGACTTCGGTTGGTCTTGGTTGCTTGAACGTTTCTTCCTCCGCGTTTTGTCCTCCGTGAACGACCCTTCCTTTATCCACCGTGGCCGCCGAGGCGGTGAAGGAGAAAGTCGTAGCCTTGGAAAAGGAAACGAATGGTTTGCGGGAAGATCTGAATTGGGTGTGGAGATGGTGGTTGAATAAGGGTGTGGGTAAGGAGGAAGATGTGAAGGAGAGCAAGAAAATGGTATTAGGTGCCATGTTTAGCCTCAGTGTGTGCTATGCTGTGCTGTGTTTTCTTTTACACCCAATCCATTTAACCCCAAATACACTTTTTTTTTCTTTTCTAAAACATTACTTTTATTAAAATAACATTGAAAAAATTACTAATAAATAAAGAATAGTTTATAAATGATGAATTTTAAAGGAAAAAATTATAAAATAAAGAATAAAGTTAAATATTTCATGAGAAAATAAGTTCTTAGAAAAACCATGGGTACCATAATTAAGAAAAGAGTGTAATAGTAATTAAGAGTTAGATAATAAACTCCCTTTGTTGTTGTAGTTACTTCAGATCTGATCTGAAGGGGAATGTGATTGTAGGTTGGGCAATTCATGGTGTGAGAAGGATGGGGACTACGCCTGAGGTCAACGGGAATAATGTAGCGGACGAAGAAACTCTCGGCGGCTCAATTCATTTCGGCACGGCGGAGGCCGTTGAATACGTCCGTTCGCTCACCGACGTCGGCGCCATGACGCGCCTCCTCCATGAGTGCATCGCTCACCAGAGAGCCGTCGACGTCGAACTCGACGAGCTTCTCTCGCAGCGCACTGACCTCGACCGTCACCTCCTCCAGCTCCAGCGCTCCTCCGATGTCCTTGACATCGTCAACTCCGACGCCGACTACATGCTCTCTAATGTGGCTTCCACATCCGACCTCGCTGACCAGGTCAGCAGCAAGGTCCGCGAGCTTGACCTGGCGCAGTCGCGCGTCCGCAACTCGCTCCTCCGCATCGACGCCATTGTGGAGCGCGCCAACTCCCTCGAAGGCGTCCACCGTGCCCTGGAGGCAGAGGACTATGAGTCTGCCTCCCGCTACGTCCAGACCTTCCTCCAAATTGACACGCAGTATAAAGATTCCGGCTCCGATCAGCTTCAGAGGGATCGCTTGTTGGCAGCGAAGAAGCAGTTGGAGGGAATTGTAAGGAAGAAGCTCTCTGCCGCAGTGGATCAGCGCGACCACCCCGCCATTCTCAGGTTCAGTCACGGATCTATAAATTTTAAGTTGCGGGTACAACAGTATAGTAGATTGACTCTTTTTTCTACTATATCGTAAATTATGGGAGTAATGCATATACATATATATTACAGATATGAGCAAACTGTATATGCACAATTTTTTTCGCTGGAATCCTGTCATCCAATTGCAAATTGTTATATTTGATGAGTTTGTCCACTTTCACATTTGTTAATTTAATACTCATTCATACCATGACTTTTCTGTTTGTATAATAATGTGTACATATAGTTTTTGCAATGAGTGCGTAGAAATTGAAGTTGATATTATGTTAAGAAAAAAAACTTGTGCCACAATGCCTGAACCTTGATCCATCATTGCTCAGGTTCATTCGACTCTTCACCCCGCTGGGTGTGGAGGAGGAGGGATTGCAGTTGTATGTTGGGTACTTGAAGAAAGTGATTGCAATGAGGTCAAAAATGGAGTTTGAGCAATTGGTGGAGACAATGGATCAGCGTAATGTCAACTTTGTTGGTTGTTTGACCAATTTGTTCAAGGACATTGTGTTGGCGATTGAGGAGAATAGTGAGATCTTGAGTGGTCTTTGTGGGGAGGATGGTATTGTATATGCCATCTGTGAGCTTCAGGAGGAGTGTGATTCTCGCGGTTCTGTGATTTTGAACAAGTATATGGAGTATAGGAAGTTGGCTAAGTTGTCCTCTGAGATAAATGCTCACAACACCAATTTGCTTGCTGTTGGAGGAGGTCCTGAGGGTCCTGACCCACGAGAGGTTGAATTATATTTGGAGGAGATTCTCTCCCTTATGCAGCTTGGTGAAGACTACACTGAATTCATGATTTCAAAGATCAAAGGGCTTACTTCTGTTGACCCTGAGTTGCTTCCCCGTGCCACCAGAGCTTTTCGTAGTGGCAGTTTCAGCAAGGTTGCACAAGATTTAACTGGATTTTATGTGATTTTGGAGGGATTTTTCATGTTGGAGAACGTCAGGAAAGCAATAAGGATTGATGAACACGTGCCTGACAGCCTTACCACTTCTATGGTGGATGATGTATTTTATGTATTGCAGAGTTGCCTGCGGAGGGCAATATCCACTTCCAATATCAGTTCTGTTGTTGCCGTTTTGAGTGGTGCCAGCAGTTTACTCGGTAATGAATATAATGAAGCCTTGCAGCAAAAAATAAGAGAGCCAAACCTTGGTGCAAAGTTGTTCTTTGGTGGCGTTGGTGTGCAAAAGACAGGAACAGAAATTGCAACAGCTTTGAATAATATGGACGTTAGCAGTGAGTATGTTCTGAAGCTAAAACATGAAATTGAAGAACAGTGTGCTGAGGTGAGTGTTGTATATTTTTAGTACCTTACAATTGTATATCACTAATGAAAATCATTAAATTTTGAATTATGAGCAGTAAGTATAGTTGGCACACCCTTGCCTTATTCATTGTTTGCCTGGGGTCCCATTATGAGGTAATTTTAGGTTCCTAGGTTAGGGGCAGTTTGTGTCATTTTATTTGTGCAGGATGTAGTTCTGAATTTCTGTAACATGATTTAGAGTTTTATGTGATATTTACAAATCTTGGATAAAGTTATAGACGGTATAGGAAAAACCAATTTCAAGATTGACATTTTTGCAACTTCAAAACCAAAGATTGAGGATGTTTCTGTCCTTAGTGTTGATGAATACACAGTCTAATCTGTAGCAATCCTCTCAGTAACATAAATATTGAGACAATTGATTAAAAGAATGCACTTGAAGCATGATTTAGAAATTCAGAAATTGTAGCAATGATTTTGCCCAATGAACTATGTACATCGGTTTCCCCTGAATGTTGTGATGAATACATGTTCAAATTTATAGCAACCCTTCTGTTAACATTAATACGGAGATGATTGATTAGAAAAGTGCAATCAAAGTATGGTTTAGAAATTCAAAATTTTTGTATTGATGATTCACTTTATGAACTATTTTCCATTTTAAACTAGATGTTTCTTGAGACGTGCGAGTTTACTAATTGAATATTTCATATTTGTCTTTAGCTTTGTCAACTGCTCCTCCTTCATTTTTAAACGAAAAGAATGTAGCTGGAACAGACTTACAGACTATTTATTTTTAAGAACTGTTTCTCAATATATACAGCGCTATGTCGATTTGTCCTGTGTTGGTTTATAATGTATAGGTCATTCTTTATTTATGTATATTTGTTTTGCCTATATAACATACAAGTTTAAAGTTGCAGAATTAACGGACTGAATAACTTCATGCAGGTGTTTCCTGCATTAGCTGATCGAGAAAAGATAAAATCTTGTTTGACTGAGTTGGCAGATAGCAGCAATGCTTTCAAGCAAGCTTTGACTGCTGGCATAGAACAACTTGTGTCAACCATTACACCTCGAATAAGACCAATATTAGACAGCGTTGGAACAATTAGCTATGAGCTTTCGGAGGCTGAGTATGCAAATAATGAGGTGAATGATCCATGGGTTCAGAGACTTCTCCATGCTGTTGAGACGAATGTGGCATGGCTGCAGCCACTAATGACAGCTAACAATTATGACACGTTTGTTCATTTGATTATTGACTTCATTGTGAAAAGGCTAGAAGTTATTATGATGCAAAAGAGATTTAGTCAGCTAGGCGGTCTTCAACTTGACAGAGATGCTAGAGCTTTGGTAAGTCACTTCAGTGTCATGACACAGAGAACTGTCAGAGACAAGTTTGCACGTCTTACTCAAATGGCAACAATTCTAAATTTAGAAAAGGTTTCTGAGATTCTAGATTTCTGGGGTGAGAACTCTGGACCTATGACCTGGAGATTAACACCAGCAGAAGTTAGGCGTGTATTGGGTCTGCGGATTGATTTTAAACCAGAAGCAATAGCTGCTGTGAAGTTGTAATATCGGTTTATATGGTCTCTTCACATTCTTTTCTTTTTTTTTCTACTTTAATTTTTCATGTGATAAGTATTACAGATTCATTCTTACTACTTTTGGTGTTTGGTAAGTTAACCTACAGTTTCGTTATACGACTCACATTGTTAGCTTCAATGGCAAAATAATAGGCAGAGTATTCAGATTTGGCGCCCGAGAGGCCAAGATATTACTCGTATAGTGTAAAATGGTCTTTGTTCCTGAATATCCACTTTCCAATTTTGAATTTTTGAATATTTTTCTGTAAATCAATTTGAGACATAGTTCATGCGTGTTTAGTAAAGTTCATTAAATATTTAACTTCCAAACAACTTTTCTTGCGTTTCGTTGCGGAATATACGAGTGTTGCATTTATTTGAATAATTAATTGTTATTTAAATAATGATGCTGACAAAGTCCAAAGTATCATTTTACGCACTTCTGTAATCACATCATATATGCTGCATATGTTAGACACCCCTGCAGATATCACAAATTAATACTCTAGTTTGGAATGTCATTACTTGTCAATCTATATTTTTATTTTTATTTTGAATTTATTATCCAGGTTTCCGATAAGGATAGTTTTCTAGCTTCTTCTTTTTTTCCTGCCATATATATATATGAGTTAATTAATAATACTATGGTTAAATAATCACTACAAAACAGAGTCCACGACATAAACTAATTCAATATTAGTCATAGAATCCGTTCACATTATTCATGAAAGTTTTCAGCTAACCTCCAAAGTCAATGCAGCTAGCTCACCAGCTAGCATGAGTAAACAATCATCAGTGAAAAACAATGCTATCAACACTCACTTCAGTAGCTATAACCTAACACAAGAAACCAGATAAATGGTGGAAGAGGCAAACACTCAACTGAAGAAGTTTAATTTACAAATTGTAAAAAAATAAGTTTAATTTACAAATCTTATACTACTGAAAAACACATAAATCATGTGTATCTTTGTTAACAATTATATCTTGTGTCTATATAACTCCTGGTAAATTATCTCATTGCATTAGGAAAGAACTTTAATAGTGAGAATCTTATTTTAAAAAAAATATAGTTAAATATGTTTTTAATCTTAAATTTTTTATACGATATTGAAATTCATCTTTATTTCAAATTTTAATATAAT